AGTTGGAGATAAAACATCACAAAAGAGAAGACGGTTGTCCAATGAGGAAGATGATGATGAGGATTATAAGGGTTCTTTTGCTAGGGAGAAAGTTGGAGATAAAACATCACAAAAGAGAAGACGGTTGTCCAATGAAGAAGATGATGATGAGGATTATAAAGGAGAAGAGGAGGAGGAGGAGGAAGAAGAAGAAGAAGAAGAAGAAGAAGATGATGATGATGATGATGATGAAGAATTTGTACTGGATGAAGATGATTGTTTGGATGAGGAAGAGGAGCTGACTTTGCCTAGGAAGAAAAATATGAAGGCAAATAAGAGAGGATTACGGAAAAGGCGTCCTGGAGGAGGTCGGAGAGACAGGAAGAATTGTGCAGTTTCAAAGGAACCTCTCAGAAAAAGCAGTGGGAAGAAACGTAGGTTGAAAAGGAAAAATAGGGTTGAGGTTGATGAGGATGAGGATGATGAAGATTATGCTGACAGTAGCGATGGTGATTTTAGAGACAATAGTATCCCAGTTGTTAGAAAAAAGAGTAAAACAAGCTTGGCACAGAGAAAGAGAAAACATCATGTATCAACAGATTCAGATCATGCATCCTCTGGATCATCTGATCATGAGTATACCATCTCTGAGGAAGAGAGAGAGCAAGTGATGGAAGCCAGGAAGCTTTGTAGAAGTGTGAAGACTGCTTTAAGGAGTTCATCATCCTTAGGGAGGATCCAGGATGGTAGGGATTTAGGCCAGGATAAAAACCCTCCAGCACAAAAGGGTAAGGAGAAGGTAGAGGAGTTGAAGAGTGAGGTAGTAAAGCAGGTTTGTGGAATTTGCCTGTCAGAGGAAGATAAAAGGAGATTGAGAGGAACACTGGATTCTTGCAGTCATTACTTTTGTTTCTCCTGCATTATGGAATGGTCAAAAGTGGAATCTCGTTGCCCTTTGTGTAAGCAGAGGTTCAAGACTATTAGTAAGCCTGCAAGATCAGCTGCAGGAGTTGATTTGAGGGAAGTGGTCATACAAGTTCCTGAGCGTGATCAGGTATCTTATGTTTCTCCCATAATAATGTAGTAATATAAAAGTCTTATTGCTTTACTTTGTGGCTAATTTCTGGTTCAAAATGGGTATTTTGTTATATTCAGGTCTATTACCCATCTGAGGAAGAACTCAGGAGTTATCTTGATCCTTATGAGAGTGTGATTTGTTCAGAGTGTCACCAGGGTGGAGATGATGGCCTCATGTTACTTTGTGATCTCTGTGATTCATCTGCACACACCTACTGTGTTGGGCTCGGCCGGGAAGTACCTGACGGTAATTGGTATTGTGACGGTTGCAGGCCTGGTGCACTGGTGTCTTCTAGTTCCCAAGCTCAAGATTCTTTATCCGATCAAAGAATGATAACCAACAACTTTTACAATAGACCATCACCTGTTATTAATTTGGGGGAAAGTGGAGAACCGAGTTTAATGTCTTCACCTCGTGCACCATTTACTCAAGGATTTGGGAGTCTTTTGTCTCCTAGGTTACCAGTTACAGATGTTTCAGCAGCTTCTCCTCTGTCAGGAGCAGGGGCACCAACCCTATCAGGGAGACGCTGGATACACCGTCATATACAGAATCTTCTTTCTGGCAATAGAATGAATACTTTGGCTATGAGAGTGGATGGGGTGTCAACTGCCAATTTGACCAATGATTTTTTGAACTCTCAGATTGATCAGCGTCGAGAATCAACAGTTCAACAGTCAAGGATGCAAGAAAATGGGACATTGTATACAATAGTTGAGGAGAGTTCCCAGGATAATCCCCCTTCGTCATTGCAAAATAGAGGCATTTTCCCTCCAAGGTTGGGGCATCCAGGAAGGCAAGTGGTTCAGGGTCCAAGTACGGCAACTATAGATACAGGTTTCAATTTGACATTATGGCCTGAACTTGCTGGGATCAATTCAATATCAGGTAATGACCACATCAACCAGTGGAGCCCCAGATCAAACATTGTGCTGAATGGTTCCCCTCATATAGTTAAAGAGGAGAGTGATTTCTCCTCGGTCAAGGAACAGTTGCAAACATTGGTTCGAAGTCATCTCAAAAACTTGTCTAGAGATATTGATTTAGGTATGTGAAGAATTTATTTACGCAGCTTATGCAGTGTATGAATGTCAAACTTTACAACTAACCCACAACTGCGTTAACTTTTGCTTAATTTTGCTTTTGGAAATGTCCAAACTGCTGGTTTTATTGATGCAGGGACTAACTCTGAGGACATAGCGAGGCATTCCACACAAACCATTTTGGCTGCTTGTGGGTTTGAGCACATTAAGAGTGAGGTTCATCCCGTGCCTTCACCATGGATTTGCCCCCACATTGAGCTCCTGGAAGCTGGACAGAGGAGTCTAATGAAAGGTTGTTGCCCTACTTGTTTTGATTCCTTTGTAAAAGATGTTGTGAAGAGAATCATGGACAAAAGCCTCCCTCCGTGGTTGAGTTTAGGTCTTTAGATCTTTTGGTTAGTGAATGTATCTTTTGCACCCCCTTTTTTTTTTTTTTTGGGTTAGGAATTAGAAACAAAATTTTAAGAAGGAATCTTTATAGTTGACTTATTGATAAAATGATTCATCGACATTGAGCACGGAAGGTGCTCTATTCTCTTTCAATCTCCAGAATAGATTCTTGAATGAAGAGAGTAGATGGATGGATTACATATATATATTTTTATGATATTAAAAGATGAAATGGAAATCTGACTGCGGAGGAAAACAAAGTTCTGTATGGAACATAAATTACACTCATTCCTACACCTTATTTGAACATTTTGGTTGGTACATTTCACTACAAACAAACCATAGATTGAAGGACTCTAGATCGCAGACTCAATATCTTGTGGATTGAGGTCCACGATTTGCAATTACAAGCATGAGTACTCTTCATAAGATGTCATCTAGAATTGTGGACAACACTAGTTCTCGAACAAACTCGCCTTTCTTTGCTTTCTCTTTCTGATCCTTGGCTGAGAGAGAAGGCTGGGCATTTCTGTCATCCAGAAGCAAAATATAATAGATTAGACATGAAAGCTGAAAAGGATGTAGTATTTATACGCTATTGCCCAATACATTGTAGCAAAAGTATACAGGAATCTACTGGAAGAGCAAAGTGGACTAGAGACAAAATTATGTAGAAATTCATCCCCATGACAGAACAAGAAATTTGATACCAGATATGCTGGTTTGCTAAATCAAACACAGAAAATTAATGTCATCGCTCTTCTCATTGAATATTTTCTATTCAAATGGTGCTCTTTTTTCTTTTTTTTTTGGGAACATTTAAACTTTCATGGTCACAGAATGATGGATTAAAAAACCATCATAAATGGGAGAAAAATGGATAATTAGACTAGGAAATTCAAACATACCGTGCTGACTTCTTTGCATCTGAGCTTTTCTTGGTTGAGCTTGCTTCAGTAGAACATTGATTATGAATACTTGCAAAATCATCAACCATTGGTAAAATAAATGAAGAAAGCAATGGATCAGGTGCTGAATTGGATGAGGATACAATACATGAAGAAGCCCCAAATAGGGACTGTAAATTTCCTTCTCTCAGCTCTTTCCTCAACAGAGAAAGCATTGAATGAGATCCACCTTTACGGGATTTCCTCTTGCGCTGCATGTGAGCACTCGTTAAGGAAATCATATTAGCAAGTCAAATCAACATAATTTTATTGTGAAACAAGAAAGCAGCACAAACAATGCTAGCAAAGGTCCAAGGGAGAACAAAATAGTCAACTTGGCCATTGCATACTAGCCGAAAAGGAAAAATATCCCAGTAGTCAAGTAAGTTTAATTGACTTCAACAAAGAAAAATCGTGGTAATAAAAGTTAAGTGCCTTATACCATATGAATCAAAAGTTGCATACAAGGTTGAAGAAAAAATTTGTGAACCAAGGAAAATAAACGTGCAGAACTAACAGAAGGGACCAAGATGATAATCCTGTCCTAATCTTGTTTCATTGAAAATTGACTAAAGAAACAGAAGAAATAGAATCCAAATTCAGGTTTTACATAATTAGCAGACTTCATCAAATACTAATCCTCAAGATAAATGGCACATGGAATGCAATATTATTAACAAAACTCAATCAATTTATAAAGAGAAATCGAGAAGACAAGTTATAACAAATAATGAATACGTGGAAAAAGGATATCTTGAATATATTTCCATGTTGCAGAGTTATATGCGCAACCATATCAACTCCCACCCTCACCGTACAAACTGGACATACCTGCAGGTAAACAGAGCCCATGGAACAAAGTTTAGCATCAATAAACACCAGCCCCAGCTAGGGAAGACAGTTCTCAATGGGTATCAGATAAAATCAACT